TAAATTATTAAATTTAATAATTTATTTATTTTAATAAAAATTTAAAAACTAAAATAAATTTAAAGACTTAATAAAAAGTTTTGTCTTAATTTTTCCCCTGGCAATTATTATCTTCCATCCTCGTCTCTCTAACACTCTTCTTCCCATCTTTGTCTTGGGATGGTAACCTTACGCAAGCTCCGTTGGATCGTAGGAGTGGGGTCTACAGAAATATTCCTCCTGGAGGCGGATGATATATTCATTGAAATATTTTGTACGAAATTCTATTTCTATTTGTTTCTGCGAATCACAAATTATAAAAATAAAATTTTTTTAATATATATTCTTAATATACAAATTGAAGATATAATAAATATATTTTTATATTATAAATTAATATTTTTAAAAAAATTAATTTTTAATATATTAATTATTTAATTAAATTTATTTATTTAATATTAATATTAAAATTAATATTAATTTTTATATTTATATATATTTATAATAAAAATATATTATTGATCTATATTTTAAAATAAAAATAACCTAAAAAAAATTAACGGAAATACTGTCACGTGGTTGAAAATTACCGAAATTATAAATTAAACTTGACACTATAAAATTATCTAAAAGTCTCATTTTTCAAAAAGTAAATATATAGCTAAAAGACGTGAGGGACAAATCGGCACCAAACCAAACAAGAAAATCCGAAGTTTTCTGCACCAACTCAAAATGGATAAGTGACGTACATGTTACACAAAATAAGAGAAATTTTTTTATATAAGAAGATATTACATTAGTGATTTTTTTTTATTAACGTAATGATATATTAATATATGGAGTCTCTATTTATAATTTAATAATTAATAATTATAATAAATTAATTTTTTTAATTATAAATTAAAAATATATATATTAATGTGTTACTATATTAATAAATAAATATACAACTAACATGATATTTTGTTTTGTATATAAGAATTTCTCAGAAAACAAACTGCCTATTATTTTTCCGTTTATTAACTTATACTATTAATAAACAAAAACAAACTAAAGAAAATATAATAAACGAAAAGAAAATATTTTTTAAAATAACTAAATAAAGAAAAGAAATCTTCTCTAAAAAAAATTAATAAAGAATAATCCAAAACAACTCTTTCCACGAACTGTATTTCTTTATTATTGACTCTTGACTCGTCCCTTCTTTTCCTGCACCAATTCCTTTTCTTGTTTTGGTCTTTTTATTATTCTATCATTTCCTCACCACTTCTCTGATTCTTCTTTGATTTCATGATCTCTTAGTCCTCAGCTACGATGTCATCTTCAATGGAAGCAGAAGGTACGATCTTCCCTCTACTCAATCTTCTGTTTCATTTTTTTTTTCCTGCTTGGTTGCCGAGAAAAAGCTTTTCTCTTACTTGTAGTTATAGCCCTAGAAATTATCAGTTGAATACCCAACTTTTGATTGTTGGTACTGGTGTGTTGAATCCCAAACAGATCCTTAGCAACATCCGTTCCTCCAAATTCTTGACCAAAAAATTTAGTTTTTAAGTTCGGTTTTGGTTCGTTGGTTTTCGATCCCTTTGGCCGACAGTCGACCGAACATGTATACGATGCAATCTTGGTCTCAAATCATCGATGGGATAATCTACGAAACCAAGCCATTGCTCATTATTTGTTCTCGAAGCTTTTTTACAATAAGAGTGTAATATCATTTATTAAATCAACTGGGTTGTAAAGAACCATAATGGAGAATGTTTAAACTAGAAATAGGGTTGCGATTGCGAAATGCAACCTAATAAAATGTTCTGTTTGAAGAAATTTAGGGGAAGGATTAGACACGAAAAGTAATGATGCATTAGTTTTCTAACACTCTCAAACAAAATATTTTGAAATAGAGTGAGTACTAAGGATTTCCGTTTCTCTTCAGTCCTTTACATTCCTTCTGTAACATTCGTTTTTTCCATGATTGATAGTGTTAAGATGTGAACATAATTATATTTAGAATTATTGTAAATATTTTATACTTTAGAATATTTTCTTTGTAAACACCTATATATAGGTCATTGTACATACAGTATAATTCAAGAAAACAATAAACCTTTCTTCAGATATTTCTCCTTCTTTTCAGTTTCTAACATGGTATCAGAGCTATAAGCTCTTGGTTCTTTTCTCTTATCATCGCTGTTGGGTTTTTTTTTGGAGTTGGATTTTTAATTCCATTCCAGATCTGAAACTTTGTCATTGGGATCTCTTCTCATACAGATTGGATTGTTTATCCTCGATTCTCAGACCCTTTCTGAGGTATTTTGTTGGTTTGTTATTTCGATCTTAGCATCTATTTCTCCATATTTTTAGAGTTTTTCAGTATTGTGAGTTTACTGATTCTATAACGAGTTTTGAAAGGATTGTAACTCATCCTGCTACTGCTACGGTTGCCAAAGAAGTGATAGAACAACCTAATGTCAACCTTGAATCTCTAGGACAGGTGATATTAAATCTTGTTAATGCTCCTACTGCCTTATCTACTGCTCCGGGTACCAAACCTTGGTATTTCGATTCTAGTTGTTGTAACCATATGTCTTCAATTACTGCTCATTTCTCTTCAATGTCACCTAATAATTCCTTTCCTGATATTTATTCTGCTGATGGTTCCCCTATGAATGTTAGTCACGTTGGTAATGTTTCTACAAAGTCATTGACTTTACCAAATGCCCTTTTAGTTCCAAAACTTAGTTATAATCTTCTATCTGTCGGTCAATTATGCGATCTTGGTCTTGAAGTAACATTTTCTGCTCATGGTTGTCGTGTGCAGG